GCGGCAGGGTCGTGGGCGCAGTGTTCGGGGCGGCAGCTGACTGGCGACTGGCCGCCACTGAAGATGTCCACTGCAGACATGGACAAAACATTTGGCCCAACAATGCCAAGTGGACCACCGCCTACCAACCTGGAAAATCTACCTTTGATCTGTCGAGTGTTATTATTATTATTGTGGTTAATGATTTACCCCAAAAAATGAATGTTGTATGAGATACACAAATAAGAACTTAATGTTTTCTAATAAAAAAATGTTAATATAATAATTAGACCTTACATTTCTATGCTGAAAAAAGGCTCTTAAGCACTTAATATAGTCCTTCACTGGGGGAAAATTAGTGTGATAATTTTTTGAACACATAGTATAAAATGAGTCCGAAGTGACTCACAATAAACATTTTACTATACTGTTTTATTCGAAAAACATTAATATGAAATATTAAAGTGAACAAAATCTTAGATGTGAATTTATAATTATTGCGTACACACACAAATATTCTCAAAAACTGTGGAATTAAATTATTTACTGAACCATATTTCGCAGTACTACATCAATGCCTGTAATAAATTATGGGGGCTAGAATCTGTGTCTTTTATTACATGAAATCACTGCATAAGAATAAAATCTCTCTACTTCACATATGTCTCATGAATATTTTAATTTTGGAACAATTGACAGTGAACTCTGTCATCCTCTAAGGTTTCACCTATTGGGAATTTTAATGAACAGTGCAGCCATGATAATCTGGGATTTGCATTAAAACTGTTTGTCTGATTTTCAAAAGCAATTAAATTACTTATCCGATGTCAGGTAAAAGCTCTTATATTGATTTTAATTTCAGGCACCCTAAGTCTTAAATGAAACTCACTCGGAATCAGTCACTCATAGTCTGAGGTCAGGAAGATGTAAACTGATAGAATATTTGAATAAATTTTATGACACCTCAGATAACCTAGCTGTCCAAGAAGCTGGATTGTAATTTGAAACAATCACTAGCAATAAGAGCTGTTGCATCCGATGATGTTTTCAGCAGACTAATTTCCCTTCCTTGAGAGGATAGATGATTTCACTATAAAACACAAACTGGTTGATAGTTTAAAGCCAAGATGATTTAAAAAATCTGAAAATGAGATCATTAAGGTATGAATAGGCAGTTTGTGGCTTTAATGCTGAGGTAGACATTTTTAGATGCTATAAATATATTTCTTGTAGTATTATAAAGGTCTGGAGTATGTTTGTAATTAATTTTGAGTGTCTATGTCAAAACCATGAAATCAGCATTTGTCTAAAAATCCTATATTTAGTGTAATATCACTATTGATGGGTCATGTTGATCTAGATTTATTTTATTGGCAATTAGAATTAATAACTTATTACATAGCATTTCAATCCTGAACTTGGGATCTTTCAGGATGAAATGATTTGGGCAAGGGAGGACACCATAGTACAAGCACCATGTGATTATTGTCACCATTGCGATTTAATTTAAATTTTAACTTAAGTATTTTTAATTGTCTATTTTCACTCATCAAAGTTCCTCACACCTAGACCCAATTATCTGAAAAAGATCCCAAACCTTATGTAATGTATTTCTCTAATTATGAATGATCCTAATTGTCTAAGGCAAACATAACCCATTAATTCCTAGCTATTGGTGGTTGTTTTGAATCATATAAATTAAGTTGTTATAATTATGTTCTACCTGTTGATTCCAGTGGGAAGGATTTTCTTCTTTTCTTGAGTTTTGATTGACATTCCTTCTGTTGGTTGCAACATTTATATGCAAGAAATCATAATGAAAAATTTTATTTTCTCTTAAAATAATGGTGTAATTATTCACATTATATGTAATGATAATTTGTATTACAAACTACAGTGTGACTGATATGACAAACTACAGTGTCACTCCCTATTTTTGGATAGTTGTAATATCTTTATTTATGAGCCAGTTTTTTTTTAAACTAGTGTTAAAAACAGTGATTCTTGAGGTTTAGTTTAACACATTTTTAAATCTCCGCATCAGCTCCAGCCTTCTCAATGCATTTTTTAAATGAACTGTTCAATGCTGTCCCCAACATGGTTAACATATAAGTTGTTATTGCGTCAAATTCATCCATGTTCTTTTGTTTTCTCTCATAAACCTCCTCCTTAACCCACCCCCAGGGGAAAAAATTGCTATGCAGTGAATTAGGGTTGTAGGCAGACCATTCATGTGCACCATGTCTGTCAATCCAACAACCAGGGAAATGATCATGCAGCCATGCACAGACATCATTTGCAAAATGTGCAGGTGCTCTGGCCTGCATGAAGTAAGGCTGTGGGTTGTTTAGCTGTGAAATTACAGGCCATACAGTGACTTCTTAAAGCTCCTCAATAACATTTCATGAACACTGCTAATATTCTCGTCTTTCCTTGAAACTGATGGTCTTCCTGATTTCCTTGCATCAGCCTTACTTCCTGTTGTTAGTAATTTGGAATGATATTTTTATCTGTTTTTGCATTCAGTGTTGCATGAATCCTTTGTTCACCCTTCGACTGTTTTTGTACTCACACTACAGATCCCCAGACTTCATAACAAGCTGGCCTGCTCTTAGACACTCAACACATACAGCATTTTTCAACTGAAATGAGAGAATAAACATGTTAACAAAACCTCAAGGACTATTCTTTCTAACAGATTTGGTTGTAAAATCAGAGGCTCATAAGTGAAGAAATTGTAGCTAACAAAAATTCGAAGTGGCTTATTAGACATCCTTTATATTACATTTGCTTTTAAGTACAACATATGTTTGAAATTAAATGCTGTTAAAAACTTATAAGTTGCTTCAAGAAAACTCTTTGTTAAAACTAATAATTAAAAGTTGCATAATGTAGCGCAATGTATTTAAATAAATGCACAGAATGCTGTGGAAAAAGAAAGAAACAAAATATTGAATCACAAAGAAAATATTAATCATGTAATTTGTGTGTATTTGTAAGAATGGTAAAAAACAATGTCAATCAAAACTGTGAACTGATGAGAAGGAAAAGTTCATATGCTACCCACAGGGATGAACACTGTGTAGTAACAACCAGAGAGTGTGTGTGGTACAAGTACATAATAGTCGCTAGAATGAAAAAAATATAATTGGTCATAATAAAAAATGTATTGACTTTTATCTGAGAAGTAAGTTTTGGGCTTTTCTTCATTTGTAATAATTTTGAACTATTGTACTCTTATGTATTTTTTCTTCTAATCAAAAATTGCCCTATATTCTTCTTAGGTTATAATCAAAGTTGTATTGTGTTGTGTTGTTTTTGCTACCATGATATTTACAACTTTTTTTTTTTTTCACTGTGCTTACTTTGTACAGATTACTGTTGCAATTGGTGCTGTGTTTGGTGTAGTTTTGTACCGAATGTCTGTCTTGACGTCATTGTCATTGTATCCTGACTCTGATACCACAAGCTATATGATCATGTTTATTCCAATCACAGCTGCATCCATCAACTTGGTGTGCATTATGTGTTTGAATTATGTAAGCACTTCATGTTTTCTTGAATACTTAAAGCTTGTTGGATTTCCAAAAATATTATTCCTCTCATGAAAATTATTTCTTTTGTTGACAGTTCTATGATTGGTTAGCTGTACGTCTGACTGAATTAGAACTGCTAAGAACTCAAACAGAATTTGATGATAGCTTGACATTGAAGATTTATTTATTTCAGTTTGTGAACTACTATACTTCAATATTTTACATTGCTTTTTTAAAGGGAAAGTTTGTAGGTTATCCATCTAAATACAATAGAATATTCAAGTTCCGACAAGAAGAGGTAAGAAAATGTGTTTATGTCCTTAATTTATGCC